TCCTGCTAGTAAAGTGAAGTAGGTAAATCAATGTTTGCAGGACTCGGGTTAAGTGACTAACACTGCAGATATCTAGAACTGAAGGAATTTCCTTCCCACAGTTATTACTGGTGCTCTTGTACAGCTTACATTTCTCGGGGGTTAAACAATGAAAATAGGCTGGTCAGTTTCACTCAATTTCTTTTTTTGTTTTGTTTCTCTGGGGGGAATACAGGGTTAGCCTGTGTGTGTCCTGCAGACTTATCCTTCCAGAGTCTGCCTCGATCCTGCCTAAACCCCAGGTTAGAGACGTGTGTTGGTGAAGTCACAAAGCTGCCTTCGTATGGGACATGGAACCCAGGGCTCCACTGTCTCATAGGCCAGTGACCAAAGGTCATTACAACATGGCAACCTAAGCAAGGTTGAGGGAGCCATGGCCCCCGTCCAGTTTCTAGCAGGCTGTGTCTGTCTCACAAAGCACCACTGCAGTCAGTGCTCTTGTTGCAGTTTCAGCAGAGAGGCTGAAGTCTGAACAAACTTTGGCTGAGGTGGGCATCATAGGCGGGCATTGAGCAGCCTCTGGAAAACATAGCGGTGGTCTCTCAAGGTTGGGTTGCAGCTCACTGTTGCTGCACCTCTTCTGTGGATAAATGGATGACCTCCGACTACAGAGGTCTTAGCCTGGCATCTCAGAGCAATTCCCCTATCAAGGTTGGTCCCCACCCTGGCACTTGAAGTGCAGAAGGTGGGGGCCTGCAAGAGACTTTAAAAATACTCTGCCAACAAGGGCTTCTGCTTAAAGACTCCCCAAGGTCACAGATTCCCCTGACCTTGGGCAGTATGCTGCCACAACCCTTTGAGAACCCAAGAAGACACAATTGGGAATTTCTTCCTGTGGGTACCCTCAAGTTCCTTAACCCACCCTCTGGAGAGAGCTTGAAAACAAACTGTTATTTCCCTAATAGCTGACCTTGCCATTTAAGGCATGTGAACACAGAACCTCCTGCTTCTAGGACACAGGGATCAGATCATAGTCTTAAAAAGGTGATTTTATTAACAAAACACAGAGGACATGCTTGGTAGGTGTTACAGAGCAATTGAAAAAGATTAATCCATAACATTAAAAACACAGAGAATTGCTTCCCTGGGATTCAGTTAAAAAATCACTGGGGGGTGGGGTAGGGAGGTGTTTCATGGACTCAGCACAGAGGAATCCAAAAAATCCAAAAACAAAGAAAATAACCTGATTGTGTCTGACTAAATATTCCCTGTTCTAGTCACATGTCTGTTGTTCCAAGCTTTAGTCCTTCCCTAGGCATGGATATCACTGGAAATTCCATGCTTTCTTCCCAGCTCTCCTCTAGTCACACACAGACTGCAGCTGGAAGGTCTGTTTTCATTGGCTCTCCTGGCTCCCATTCAGCACATCCCCCAAATGTAAATGGGGCAAACACAAATGGGGACAGCTGAGCCCCTCCTTGGCAAGGCTGAAAGGGGCTGGAGAGGGAATTCTTGTGCTGCCTGGAGCTGTTGCTGGAGGCCGTGCTGACAGATGCTGTGTTCCAGGTGTGCGTGACCTATGAGACTGTACCCTGCAGAGAACTGGGGATGGTGCTCAGGTAAGAGATTGGCTTTCCTCCTCCCTTCCCCTGCTGTTTGACATCCCTGTGTCCATGCTGCAGTGGGCACAGGATGGATTTGGATGCTGCTGTGATCTATGGGTTTGAAATGTAAGAATTTCTCAGTTCAAAAACAGAGAGGAAAAACAGCGTTGGGTCTGCCCAGTGACGCCGGCTGTTTAGGCCAAGGGACATAGAGCCTCATTAGTTATTCTTTTGGCCTGAGGACTCCCGCCTCCCCAGCCACTAGGGATGTTTTCATGCAGTCCTTCCAGCTGAACTTTGTGTCTCGGCTGTGCCCTCAGATACTTGGACGGCCGGATCTTCGTCATCGAGGTGCTTCCTGAGAGCCAGGCTGAGGTAGACGAGGTGGTGCTGGCTGGAGACGTCATCGATGAGATCAGTGGCTTTTCCCTGAGAAATGCACGCAATGGACAGGTGGGGGAAGCGCCCATGGTCAGACTAATGCCTGCCTTCGGAGGCTGATGGGGTGCTCCCTCTCTTGAGATCCTGTCTGAAGTGGAAGCCTCACTGGTCTAGGGTAGGCAGAGGGATGAGGTATCTGGTGGTGGAATGGCTACAGAACCGTTTCCACAAGCTCTGTGAGCAGGAAAGGGAGCTGTTGGAGGACTTGTGTTTTGGCAGCTTGAGGTTTGATCCCAGGAGTGAGGCCAGGCTGGGTTGTTGTTCCATTGTTAACACCGCTACACCACAGAAAGCAGGCAGAGAGGGAGGGATTGGCATATGATCCAAGCCCCCTTCCTCAATGGGTGCCCTGGCTCTCTCCTCCCCCTCAGGCAGGGACTGTGCTGCAGAAGCTGAAGGGCAAGCCACTGAGCTTCTGCTTGATCCGGTGGAAGTGGCATGATGGAGGAATGTACAAGCCACTGCTGCCCTACCTGAAAGTGCTGCGGGAGAAGGTCCCCAGCTTCCAGCTCCAACATGAGCACAGACGCAAAGAGGAGAAGGCGGAGCGGTGTCTGCAGGGGGGCAGGTGAGGCTGGACAGACCTGAGGAATGTGCTCTGTGTTGGAGGGATGAGATGTGCCTAGTGGTTCTGTTTCTTTCTCCCCAGACTACTTTACAACCTGCGGTACTTGGGCCAGGCCAACGTAGGACAGGTAAGAGTTGTGATTCCAATGGACTGGAGTGGGAGGGTTTCTTGTCCCCACTGACTTTCATTTAATGTGCTCATGATTTTATTTACCCCCTCGCCCACAATCTGTTTTCAGTACGGTGGCAAAGAGGTGTTGGATCAAGGCATACCCATGGTGTTAGAGCAGCACCTGTGCCCACAGGTGAGTATCTAGCTGTGATCTCACAGGAAGACTGGCAGAGAGGAGGTTGTTTGTGGTGCCTGTGCTGTTCTAGATTCTCAGCTCTTTGGGTTTCTTTGGTTTAATCTTCAGCTTGTAAGGGCTTGCTGGTGGGGGGGGGG